GGATTTTTTTATTCTAAATCAATTTTACTAATGAGGTAACAACTAACTAAATTGAGCTCGATTCGACTCGAAACTGATGAGCTTAAAATTGTCAAGCTCGACTCGAAATAAAAAAATTGAAACTCAACTCGACTTGAAAGCTTGTGATCTTAAAGTTTTCAAATTTGACTATAAATCAAAAATTAAAATTCGACTCGAGTTCAAAAAAAACTTGTACTCAAAATATTTTTAGACTTAGTTCGATTGTAGCTCAAACTCGAACTCAAACCTAAAACATAAGTACATGAAAGCCTCATATTGTATTTTAAGAAACATAAACATGTTAATATCATCAATAATGTAATTTAAAAATCTAAAAACTTAATATATTATTCTTTCGAGTTGTTCATGAGTTTTTCGAGTCGGATATCAAGTAACTCACTTTGGCTCATTAGGAATATGAGTCAACTTCGAGCTCAAGTCAGGTCCATTCGATTCAAGAATTGACCGAATTTTGATCAAATTGATCTCAAGCAACCCACAATCTATCTCATCTCATGTGCAGCTCTAATAATGGATTTGGTGCACAATCTGCCAACAGCAAAGATAGCTGAGATCCAATACTTAAAAGGGGCCTGCTGGAAACGGTAGGAAATGAACTCACGAAGTTTCTCTATTACAAAGATGCTTAGTAGGCGATTATAACCTTAACTGTTTTCGAGTCATATTCATGAACTTTCAATCAATTTTCACCTTAAAGTATGAAGAGAGCTAAGTAAGCCATCAAAATAATCATAGAAAATTTTGGATTGTTTATAATCTATAGATCTTTGTGTTCAGGCTATATTAACAACCTAAAAGCTGTCTGGAGAAGTGAAATGGCCTTTTGAAAATTTAGGAATTGAGGAGAAAGGATATGGAAGATTTGCATAATAATTTATAATAGTTCGACTTCTAAACTAAGAAAGTGTACATCTACTACATTATCTTCACATTAAAGATTTTCTAATAAATTCACTAATTTGTTCTTTCTTTTTTTAGACTCAAGAATAACCTTTACGAATTTCCTAGTTTTTCAATGACTAAATTAAATCTACTCTCATTTTACAAAGGTTACTCCCTTTTTATAAAAGGAAAAGGTAGGTGTACAAATTAAGCTCACAAAAACACTATGTACAAGATAAAAGAAAGAATATTAAAGAGTGAAAGAGTTTTTCTCTTGATTTTGATTGCTTGGATAGGTGTTGTAGTTGTTTCTAGCCGTTGGGATGTTTTGTAACCGTTGGAGATTAATTTTCTGTAAAATAAAATAGCTCAGAATAGGGAGTATCGGTAATCAGGCTTGAAGTATTGGTACTTCCTTTATAATATTTAAACAAACTAACTGTTATCAACCATGGGGCTTAACCAGTATTGATACTGGGTTTCAGGGCATCGATGCTATTGTATAAAGTAGTATCGGTACTCTTTAAGTATATGTATCAATTTTGCATACTAAAATTTGAACACTTTGGAGAACACCATGTAGTATTAATACCATCATGGGAGTATTGATGCTTCTCTTATTTTTGGCATCAATACTGCAAGAATATTATTGATATTGTTCATGCAGTATTGATATTGTTCTTACATTATCGATATTGTTTAACTAGAAAACACTTTTTTGTTCAAATTCAAATTTTATAAATTTTAAATTTATTTTTGGAAACTTGAACAAATTCAATTAAGTCCAAACTTGCTAGCTAGTTTAAGTAGGGAAAATCTTAGATTTTAATAATTTGTATGTAGCGCGACTAATCAGGGACGGATATATGATTTTATATTATAAGATAAATTTCTAAAATTTTAAGAAGAGACGAACTTATAAAATTCTAGAGAGCGAAAGTAAATTTTGAACAAAAATATATAAAAAAATCTAAAATACATAATAATTTTAATTTTTTAGGTAAACAATTTACTCTTAACCCATTTGTTACTCTCGATCCATCCATGTGGCTAATATGGATCGATTAATTTGGTTATGAGATGTTAAACCTTCACTTCTGTTAGTTTACGTGAACATGTACTTGTCGGAATGGAACGAAAATACATTTTGAACCTGAACAGTTGTCAACAAACTGAAACTGGTATATTTTTATGCCTTAAAGCAAAAAAGACGACTATTGGTTAGGCATTTGTCTTATTTTTCATACAAAGGTGTGAAGTACTTGAAATGCTTTCATTTTAATTTCGAAAATAGTACATAATTGTTCAAACTTGGTTTTAAAGTTGAATGATTATATGGAATTCAATTGGGTAATGGTCAGTAATTTAACAACTCCAAATTATGACACAACTCATTCATTAGGGGGAAGTTGGTCAGGTCATAACATACATATTCTTAACCTAATCTGTGATACTTGGTCAATTCAAGTTAAATTAATGCAGATTATTGAATATTGATTTAGGAAAAAGAAAATCATGAAAGAATGACACGTGCTTTAGAAACGGAGATCCCGAGGTCATAAATTTCGTCCAAGATTTTTCATTATCAAATTATGAAGACGAGTCAAAGGAGGAGCGAGCTGTTGCCATTCTAGATTCTTGCTTTAATAATACTAAGTTGACTTTTTCAAATTAAATATTAATTGTTTTCTTAAAAAAAATTCAAACCAAAAGAAAAGGAAAACCCTTCTAATTGAAAATTTCATTACATAATTCTGCACCCATTTACTTTCTAATATTACACATTTAATTTATAATCTTCAAAAGTTTATGACAAATTCGAGATCAAGTTAACTAGTACTCATGGATGGACTGAAGGATGCTGTGGTGTGGTTGCTTCCCTATAAATTTTCAATTCTCTTATATTTTAAGTTTTTATCTTCATATTTTTTTTATTTTTATTGATTATCTAATTTAGCACCTTTAAAATTTGATAACTTCATACCCCTATAATTTTTAATATAACTTCTTAAATTTGCACCCCTAATATAAATTTATGTGTCCGTCTCTACTAGTACTCAATCTATATTAACAACATACACACACTCTGCAAACATATTTGTTGGAGTAAAACCCATATTTGTGGGCACAATTAAGTGACCAATTATGTTACATGTGTTATATGTATTAAAGTGTCATAGAATCAAAGTGTAGATACCATAAGTTGAATTTTATAATTTGATGAAGGGTAGAGTTATAAATACTTAAAATATTGACCTAATATTCAATTCATATAAAGAGGTAATGCTTCCCAAAAAATAGGTTAAGTTGTATTACTCTTATCCTTGTCAGAGAGTTTTTAGGGTAAGAGCAAACATATTTTTTTGGAAGATCAAAACCAAAGAAAGACTCAAAGATTTCAACCTATCAATTAATTCAAGTATGCTTCCGCAAATCTCATATTTTTATTATTGATGATTTAGCATAATTAGATCCTAATTATTTTTCATATTTATTATGATTTTGGTTCTAACAAGTGTTATGTTTTTAGTTCTAACAATTGGTATGATCACAATACTCTTTTTAACTACTAAAATTATTTGATGAATTCAGTCATGATTATCTTAATTATACGAAGTAAGTTCCAAAAGAAATGATACTTTCTATTTTTTAATTTGATTTTACAATGCCCTTATCTTTCACGAGAGTTGTAATTGTACAATTGATTACAGGAGTTGCAGACCGAAAATTGAGGATTATTAAGAACATTATATTATATTTTTGTGAATGATAAATAGTAAAGTAAGAGTTGTTGAGCTGCATTTGCAGGAAGCAATCTAGCAAAGCCAAATAATCTCCCTTGAATCGAACCTCTTGATTTCCTCCTCTGCTAACTAACTGAGAAGAGAACCTTGAATCCATCAATTAATTCATTTGTTTGAGTGGAGAACTAGCCAAGAAGAATCAATGAGTTTTGCAATAGTTCCCAATCCATGCAAAGCATGCACATAGAATCACTTCAAATTTCTCGTTCCCATTCATTTTCATTTTCTTTAAATTTAGCCTTTAATGTGTATATATTTTGTTAATTTTATCTTTTATTTTTCTTTTAGTTAAATTTAAACATTGACCTTTTAAAAAAGTAAAATAATTTTCAATGAAAATACTGAATAAAACATTAAATGTATTATAGTTGTTCCTAATAAAAACCAGCTAGGTAACCATTTAAATAAAAAGAAGGGTAAACTACACAAATGACTCCCAATTATAAGGCACTGTTTTATTAAGTCTTTATACTATTAAAAGATACAAAATGATCCCCGGTTATAGAATGTTGCTTTGTTGATTTCCTTGACTATTAAAAATTATAAAATGATCATCAAATTATTCATATGTTCCAAACTCATTCTTTTCCATTAAAAGTTTGACGTTATTTTGAGTGTGATGTTGACTTCTTGACTGAGATATGATAAAATCTAATTCTAGAGTCTCAAACCACTATCATATCTCAGTCATCATATTAACGTCCAACTTAGACTTTCGTCAATTTGTTTAACAAAAATGGATGAGTTTGGAATATATAAATAGTTGAATAACCGTTTTATATTTTTTTAATAGTCAAGGGACTCAACAAAGCAACACCTTATAGTCAGAGGACCATTTTTATAACTTTTAATCGTAAGATGACTTAACAAAGCAGTATCCTATAACCGAGGTATCATTTGCATACTTTACCCAAAAAGGAAATAGTCAGAAATTAGGTTCAACACCATTGGGCAAATCAATAGTGTTTATATTCTAAACAATAGCTAGCTAATTAGCTGTCTAATTGATATCAAACATTAGCAGTGATCGAAGGCATAAACTATGAAATAAATTCATGGATGATTGGAAAGAGAGAAAATACAGGGCATGCCTTTGAAGAGTTTCATTATGTGCCAATATATTGGACTCCAGCTCAATGTAAACCAAAAAGTAAACTCCAGTTATAAAAGAACAAAATCTCATTAATCCATATATGTAAATATAATTTTGCCTTCGGACTTCATTTATAAATTAATAAAATTACAGAAGGCACTCCTTTATTTTTTTCCCCCCAATTCTTGTTCTTTTTTTCTATGAGTTGAGAAAAGAATAAACAGAAATTCCCTTTCTTTATGTTTTGTTTTGAGAACCTTCTCCTGTACAGATGGGGCGCTTTCTCCATTTTTGTATTTATAATCCCAAGTTTCTCTTGGAACTGCCTTTTGCATTATTGGCTTCAAAATCAATAATCATCCCATCTATGCCTGCTCTAATCCTACGATTTCCTGATCAATCTGATGGGCAAACCATTCTGAGGAAGAGCGAAAGGACCATATTGAATCCCACTATTTGAACCCACCATTGACCACCTGCAATATATTCATGTCAGAAAAGGGAGTCATGTTGGATAGTTCTGTGATACAACCTAAGATTTAAGGCTAAAATATAACATAAATGGGGTCCAATAGAAAATATGATAAAAAAAAGGTATAACATTTTAAATTAGATGTAACTTAAAATGTTATTTTTTTCGTAATATTTTCGATTATGAGTTAAAATGTTACCTTCTTAGTTTACAACAAAAAAATGTAACGAAGTAAGTAATATTTTAGGTTAAGTCCAACCTAAAATATTATATTTTCCCCTTTTTTTTAACCGTAAATAGAGTGTTTTCTTTTAGACTTTCGTAGTCATGTTTTCCCCCATTAATAGAAACAGGCAGAGCATAAATTAAAACAGGAAACACTTGAACAAATTAAATTACCTGTACTTTGTGGTCAGATGATGGAGAAAGATGAGGATTTCCAGCTTGGCTAACTCATTCCCCGGGCATGAATGGGTTCCATTGCCAAATGGCATAAACGTATTGGGTTTCGGAACAACCTGTTCAATTATTGAGCAAATGTGTGCTTTAGGTGCTTGACAACGATTATATATTGGATGAAAACAACAAAACTGTGCAAAGTTTACCTCAAATCTTGAGGGGTCGAACTTTTCGGGATCCGGGAAGATCTCTGGGCTGTGATGAATGTTTCTAAAAAGTGGTAAAACTTTCCATCCCTTTGGTATTAGATACCCTGAAGAAAACATGTCAGGCTATTAGCACCAAAACAATAAAATAAAATTACACTAACGGCAAGAAATTTGAATTTTTTTTCTATTAGTTATTTATTTTATTGATATTTTTTCTCCTAAAATTTTATTTGTCAGTATAAAAAAATTGTGTTATTCACTTATATGGGGTGCAACTCACCTTCATATTCAACATCCTCCACTGCTTCTCTGAAGGTAAAAGATAAAATTGAAGCAACCCTAAGTGTCTCTTGAATCACCCTTGAAGTAATTGGCATCTTCTTGGTATCAGCCCAGCTCAGGCATTGTTCCTCACCACATTTCTCCTTTTCTCTAATTATTGCCTCTTGTTCATCCTGTAATACCACAAAACCAAGTCACTCACTCAATATTATGGGAACACTATAGGACAATACATACATATATATTTATGATAATCTTACCGTGACGGCCTTAAGAACGCTGGGGTTGTCACCGAGGTACTTAATTATCCATGTGAGTACGCTCGCAGTCGTGTCGCGAGCGGCGAAGATTACACCGATGACGTTGTCAGCGATTTGTTGGTCGGAGAGGCATTCTTTATCACCCATGAAAGAACCCAACAAGTCATTATGTTCCATTTTCATCTGCCTCCTGGTCGATATGATTTTGGCCAGGATCCGAGCAAGCTCTTTCCTCGCTTTCATCGATTTGTTGAAGAATGTACCGGGGACATTAATGGGCATCGAGTTATACCCTTGCTCTAGAATGTAGTAGCATCTCTTCAGATCTCCTCTGTACAGAACTTCTTCCTCCCCGAGTATCGATAGCAAAGCAACATTGAACGTATACTGCAAAAATTCCACATATCAATAAACACAAACAGGGGAAAACGAAACAGAGGAGTTTTTTTTTTTTTGGAAGAATCTTACTGTTTTCATTTCTTGGAAAGTGGTGATCAACCGCCCTTGGAGCGAGTGGAGAGAGTGTTGGGCAATGGATTCGATGTTGGAGATGATGGATTTGATGGATTCGGGCATGAAGGCACGGAGGACGAGCCTCCTTAATTGGGTATGGTACTGTCCTTGGCTGAAGAAGATGGCTTGTTTGCCCAACATCCTCTCTTTGCTGGCTGGGAAAGTGGGCTTGAACAGATGAGCTTTGGTGACCAGCACGAATTTAGCAGCTTCGGGGCTGGAAATCATCACGCACGGACATCCCAGTATATGGGTCTTGAATACGGAGCCATACCTATAAGTAAAAAAACCAAAGCATACATTACACTACACTACATGATTACATGGGGAAGACACGGATTTAAATAGGTGTCTGCTACTGTAACAGTGCCAGCAGACTTCAGACGCAATTTAAATATTTGATTGGTTAGAATGACTCAGCACCTCTTTTGCTTGGAAGCGAAGAAGACGTTTGGGTTTTGGGAGTAGAGGTGGAAGGTTTCGCCGACATACGGCCAACCCATGGTGCCTGGTGGGAGGGGCAATCGGCGGTTGTTCGATTGGATGAATTTTTTAAGGAAGACGAAAACGAAGAGAAGGGAAGCGAATAAGGGAAGCAAGAAATGGAGTTCCATGTTGTTTAATGGAGTGATGAAGGAATGAGGAAAACAAGCGAAGGAACATTGGGTATATATAGGAGATGGGGAGGAAGGGGGGGTTTGAAATACAGCTTGAATTCTCCCAACACGCACTGCAGCTCATTTATGTTTTTCTAGTTCTGGTTAGTGGTATTACCATACAAGGGTCTGGCACGTGCCAAGACATATGCACAATGCCAAAAGGAGCCTTTGACCACAACTCTAAAGGATTTTTAAAATCAATTGGCTTTGCCTTTAACTCGCATCTAAAACATGAAAACGTCCCTTGAACAACACTAAAGGAGAGTTCTAAGTGGATCTGTCCGTACTCTCTTGCTTTGCTTATAACAGATTCTACCTCTTATGCCAAACCAGTCAACTCCCACCATATTTGTCACATTTTTTTCACATAACATCTGTGGATCTCAAGTTTAAGGAGATAGAGATTTATAAAAATTTTAAGGTAAATTATGCATTTAGTATTTAAATTATCAATTTTAGTCTGTTTTAATATCTAAATTTTTAATTTATTAAAATCATATCTAACGTTTAGTTTTTATTTCATTTTAGTACTCCACCATTAAAAACTTAACGCGTTTAGAACCTAAACTATCAATTTTGTCCGTTTTAATACTTAAACTTTTAATTTTTTTCAAAACTTATCCTTAAATTTTGAACGAGATACTAAAACGAAACAAAAACAACGATAGGGTAATGAAATGAAATAAAAAATAAATTTTAGCTATGGTTTTGAAAAAATTAAAAATTTAGATACTAAAATAGACAAAACTGATAGTTTAAGTACTAAACAAGTAATTTACCCAAAAATTTTAAGAAGTTGAATTCAATATTTTATAACTAAAAAGTATTTTTGAATTATAAATTTTTAAAATAGTTAAAATTATAAATAGGGATGGGGTGGGTCGGGCTAGTGTTTTGGTTGCCCGACCCCAACCCGAATATATATATAAAATCCAACCCCACCTTATTCATGTGAATTTTAAGTTTTTTTCCTCCCTTGCCCCTGTTTTTAGACTAAAAACCGACCCCAACGCGATTCGATTAAAATATTTTAAAATAATTATTTATTATATTTTAAATAATAAATTTATATATATTTTTATAATATTTTTATATTTTTAATAATTAAATAATATATTTTAATAATATAAAAAAATTCTTAAAAGATTAAATATAATATATATAAGTAAAAATTAACCGGATCGGGTCCGTGATTTTTCACCTTAAATCAGATCCCGTCCCTTCCCAAAGTTATATAACTCGTCCCAAGCCCCAAAAGTTTAAAAAAATGCTCCTATAGGGTCGGGCCGGGTCGAAACCCATTGAGTTCGGGTATTTTGACCATCCCTAATTATAATTTCTACAAAATAATATTTCTAGAGAATCTTTTTTTTTTTTGAAAGAAAATGAGCCTTATTAAAAACCACTTATACAAACACAAGGTTGGGTACCTATAAGGGGAAAGGAGTGCCTAAAGATCTATTAATCATCCGAGTAACAAATCATGTTTTACATCTTAAGTAATAAACTACGGAATAACTGCCTCAAAGAAATAGGAAGCATTGCAATCAAGAGCTCTTTGAGCTAACTAACATATATAGGGTCTATTTGTTTCCCTGTAATGTATTTTTCGGAAAATGTTTTCCTCATTTTCTAATATTTTGTTGGCAGAAAACAGATGGTCAATGTAATTCATTTTCTCGATCAACTGAATTTTCTTTACATTTTCTTATAAAAATAACTTACGATCTTAACTTTCATAAGTTATTTTACAAACTATTCATTACAAAAGTATTTACACTCAAAATATTATTATTTTATATATTTAATAGTAATATATTATTTTAGTATCATTTTAATAAAAATATTGATTATTAAAATATATTTATTGATAATTTTAATAATATTATATTATATTTTCTAATGTTATAATTATATTATTATAATATATAATATTATACTTTTATTTTAATAATATATAATAAATTATTAATAAATTTAATATATTGGACCACTAGAGGCAAACATCACTAGTACCGCAAAATCAGAATCTACGTACCCTGTAACTCCATTTATAGTTCATCCAAACTATAAGCAAACATCAGTAGTACCGCAAAGATATCTGAAAATATATTGGACTATTTTCCAATGTTCTTTATTAGGATCCACCATGTATCTACTCACTAAATTGACTACGCACGTTAAGTTCTGACACATACAAACAATAACATATATTAGAGATCCCATTGCACTAGAATATGGAACACGTGACATGTACTCTACCTCCACATCTAATTTTGGTGAATAGTCTGATGAAAGTATAAAGTGAGCTGGCAACAGAGTGCTCACAGGCTTCGTACTCTGCATATTAAACCTACAAAGATTTTTTTCAATGTACCCTTTTTGATTTAGGTACAATTTATTTACTTTTCTATCTCTTCTAATTTCCATTTGGAGTATCTTCTTTGCAAGACCTAGATTTTTCATATCAGACTCCTTATTAAGTGGGTCTTCACCTCTCTAATCTTTTCTTTATTATTCGCAATTATCAACATATCATGAACATAAATAAACATAAATATAGGCGAACCATTTTGATCCTTTTTGAAGTAAACACGACTATCAAATTTACTTTGCTTAAACTCAAGAGTAATCATAAAAGAATCAAACCTCTTATACAATGTTCGGGCGACTACTTAAGTCCATAAAGAGATTTCTTTAGTGAATAGATATGATCCTATTTTCCAAAGACCATGAAACCCTTCGGCTACTTCATTTAAATGTCTTCTTCAAGTTTGTCATGCAAGAATGTCGTTTTCACATCTAGCTGCTTAATCTCAAGGTCTCGCATAACAACTATTTCAAGAAAAGCTCTAATAGAACTATGTTTTACCATTGAAGAAAAACATCATTAAAGTCATTTTCTGGGATTTGGCTGAACTGTATCTTGGTTTTTTAACTCCCGGAATTCCTTCATTTTTTGTACACCTACTTACACTCGCTTTCCACTGGGAAGTTTCACTATATTATATGTATCATTCTTGTGAAGTGAATATATTTCCTCGTACATTACGATCAGTCACTTGTCTGAGTCTTTGTAGCTAACAACCTCTGGATATAATGATGGCTCTTGGTTCGCATCAATATCTTCTGTAACACTCAGAGCGTACACGATTAGATCATCTTCCACATACCTTTGTACTCACTTGATTTTTATTTTGGGTCTATGTCGTGCAATTGATGATGATATATTAGACTATTACTAAGGAGTTCTATTCTCTGTGAGTGTGTTAAGCACGTGATTCTTGTAAATTCTTGGTAGTTTCATTAAGGGATAATCTTTGCAACATAACATATTCATCAAATATAACTATCTTTCTAGTTTCGGGACACCACAATTTAAAGCTTTTTACTCCAAATATATATATCATATAAAGATACACTTTATGTATCTAGGCTCCATTTTACTATTGTTTACATGATCCTACGTAGGACAACCAAATATCTTCAAATCAGAATAATCTACAGGCTTACCAGACCATATTTCTTGCGAAGTCTTTTTATCAATGGCCATGGACAAAGACATGCTAATAAAAAATATGCTAGTGAAGCCATTTCAACCCAAAATATCTTCGATAAACCAATATTGGAGAGCATGCAGCGAACCTTCTCTATTATTTTTTATTCATCCGCTGAGCAACGTCATTTTGTTGTGGCGTATGACAGATCGTTAGGTGTCTCACAATCCATTCTTTATTGTATAACTTATTAAATTCCTCAGAGAAACACTAAGCCATTATCAGTACGTACACGTTTAACTTGCCTTCTAGTCTACTTCTCAATCATCGTCTTCCAGTTCTTAAATGTGGTCATCACATCACTTTTTTTCTTCATAAGAACGACCAAACGTTTCTAGAATAGTCATCAATGATTATCAACATGTAGTTTGTACTTCCATGAGATGATACTTTAGATGGTCTCTATAGTTCAAAAATAAACGTAGTTTAAGATACATTTCGTATTATGAATCTGCTTGGTAAAGTGGATTCTCCTATGTTTTCCAAATAAGCAATGTTCACAAAACTCTAGCCTTCAAATTTCTTGACCATCAAGGATATAACACCCATAACCCGTATATAGATTATAGATGTTACCCGAATTTCTAAAACCATTTTATCATTTTAAAAGCGATTTAAAATTTATTTTCTTAAATTGGTAACTGATATTATAAAAATATTATATCATATGAATTATGCTTCATTTTAACAAATTTAATTCAAAAGATTTTTTTATGAATAATACCGTGAACAGTGAGGGTATCGGTACCCCTGAAGCATTCTGGAAATTTATACTTTGACCATCAAACTTTCAAAAGTTACATTTTGGTCACTAACCAAAATTTGGGGTATTACAAAAGAGACCACTCCTACTCAACTCTGACATGTCAAGTTCGCTCATATGCCCATACGCATATGCCAAAGCTTGGTTACATCTTTCATTGACAGTGCAAATGATACAACAATATCATCACCAGTAACCGTAAAACCCTAGAGAACGTACAACCTTCCATTCTTTTTCTCCCCCTTCATCACAACAAGTGAACCCTTGCTAAACTTCAAAACTCCGCCTTCAATAGAGTACTTATACCCTTTTGTGTCGAGAGAACTTAACGAGATTAGATTACGCTTCAAATTTTGAACGTGACAAGCTTCACTCAGGGTTCTGATAATGCCATCATGCATCTTAGCTTTGACACTACCAATTCCTATAATCTTACAGGATGTCTTATTAATACATGTTGACACAACTTTATAGGTCAAAAACAAATTGTGATTGGGCCACATGTGATAGGTATGCCCAAAGTCAAGGATCAACTCCTCGCTCGCCTTCTCATTGTCGTCGGAAGCCACTAGGAGTATGCACTCAACATCTTCTGCAACATTCGCAAAGTTAGATCTCTTTGCAAATTTTTTCAGCCTTTCTATTTGTTT